TCCGACCTGCAACACGGACGCCGTGCTCATCGGCCAGCAGTACATGTTCGACATTAACCCGAACACCTCTGGACTCACGTGGGAGCAGGCTGAGGAGTTGAACAATCGGAGCAATCCTGGCTGCGACCCGAGTCAGGCCGGCTGCGGCTTGGCGGCGCCTGGTGCAATCTTGGCTGGCATCTGTGGCTATGAGAACCGTCCTGGCTGCAACCCGTCCGAGCCTCTTGGGTTTGCTGCGGTCTACGGCAACGCTAGCTGCACCAGCCCGGGCTCTGGCGGCAATGGCGAGGTCTTGTGGACGCTCAACCAGGTGCCAGGCTCGTTCGATGGCGGAAGCATTACCTCCACCTCTGGGCTGCTGGCGCCACAGTGGCAACGAAGGACCATCGTGGACTTGAATTATGGTTTGGTGCGCCAGTCGGTCATGTTTGGACTGCCGGGCCCGTCGTGGGCCCCGCAGAGTGCTTGGGGCCGCGTGACCATGCGGGTGGCAGGTGACGAGAACATATTTGGGACCATAAACTTGCAGAGCATCCTGAGGCAGGTCTCTGCCTCCTCCCGTGACGGTTCCATCATTTTCGTCCTGACTGGGCGGGGGGAATTGCTGGCCACCTCGCTCGATGACCAAGACGTCCGTGTCATCGAGGGCGACACCGCGAGGTTGGTGAGGGGAGATGAAGAGGGGCTCGTGAGCGACCTCATCCAGCCAGTGGCCAAGGCCCTCATCCAGCGCCACTGCACCTCTGCTGACACCAGCGGGGATCTCGACTGTGATTGGGAGCAGGTCAGCGTTCTACAGTACATCCGCAGCTACGCCGTCGCGGCCAAGTCGATCAACGATCCCAAAGCCGACGGCCTTGGCTTGCTGCTTGTGGACGTAGTCGACAGCGAGGCCATCACTGGCCGTATCGAGGAGATCAACCTGACGCTCATCCAGCTGGGGATCCCCATCATTTTTGGGGCCATCCTGCTATTCGTCATACTGTCGCGGCAGGTGACGGTGCCCCTCCGGAAGGCCCGAGACAACATGTTCCTGTTGAGTGACATGAAGATCGACGAAGCCGTGGCGGCATACAGCGAGGGCGGGCGCTGCAGCCGCCCGCTGTTCACGGAGGCGGGCGACCTGCAGCTCAGCTTCATGCACGCGGCCACGGCCCTGAAGGAGTGGCGGCGAAAGGAGATCGAGAGGCGCACGCTGCTGGAGGAGGAGCGCGCGCAGCGGATCCAGCACACGGTCGAGAAGGCGGTGCAGGGCGCGGGCAAGCTGATGCACCCGATGGTCCTTCTCAGCGCAGAGGAGTTCATGAACATGACGATGCTGGTCAGCTACGAGGCCCTGCGCAACAGTGGCAAGCTCGAGTTCCTCGACACCGAGGACGACCTTGTGAAGTTCAAGACTAACCACTCCGTCATTTTCCTCTCCCATCAGTGGCTGGGCTGGGGCTACCCGGACGACGAGCAGCAAACACAACTCAAGGCCATGAAGAGCGCCGTGAAGACTGCCGCCCACCAGATGCGCTCCTCTGGTGCGAGGGGTGCGTGGAAGAACGTGTACGTGTGGGTTGATTACTGCTCGATCGCCCAGGAGCACCGCGGCATGCAGACGCTCGCCGTCTCCTCGCTTCCGGTGTACGCTTCCAGCGCTGACGTATTCGTCATCGTGGCGCCCCCCGCGAAGCACGTGCAGTCGCGCGACCAGGCGGACCTGCACTCCTACAACTCCCGCGGCTGGTGCCGCGCCGAGATGCTGTCGAAGATCTGCAGCAGCGGCCTCGAGAACTTCTTCGTCCTCTCCACCGAGGGAGGGGAGCTGCAGCGCGTCACCGAGGAGTGGCTCCCGTCCCTCTCGATGTACGTCTTCGAGGGCGACTTCTCGTGCTGCCAGCAGGGGCACCGCCAGGGCGCGTGCGACAAGGACGCGCTGGTGGAGCCCGTGCTCGGCCTCTACTCGCTGGTGCTGCGCCAGGTGAACGACGGCAACGGCAGCGCGCGCCACATGGAGCAGGTGCTGCGCCACATCCGGCAGTCCAAGGAGCGCTTCTTCCCGAGGACCTACACCTACAGGGTCACCGCGCCGGAGTGCACGGCGACCGAGGAGCGCGAGCTCTTCGGCCCGCTCGTGGAGGCGCTGGAGCAGCACATGGACCGGGAGCACGGCCTGCGCCGCGCGGACAGCACCGGCTCGCTGCGGAGCGCCCGCAGTGACGTGCTCTGGGTGTTCTGATCCGGGCCAGGAGGAGGAGGAGGAGGAGGAGGAGGAGGAGGAGGAGGAGGAGGAGGAGGAGGAGGAGGAGGAGGAGGAGGAGGAGGAGGAGGAGGAGGAGGAGGAGGAGGAGGAGGAGGAGGCGGCGCGGCCTGCGCCCCACAGGCAAGAGGTGCGAACGGGGCGAACGGGAGGTCGACGGAAGCTCGATCTTCGGCCTGCGCCGGGGTCACGGGGATCGACGCGCTCCTTTCCTCCCCTCGCCCTCCACTCCTTTTTGACTTCATTCCCAGGCTGCGCCGATGCCGGAGATGCACGGGCGCGTCTTCACACCCTGGGGATTTCCAGAGCCTGAAGCCACAAGAGCTCACAAGTGGTCGGGCTCGGCGGTGCCGCTGGGGAGGAGTGGACGAGGGAGAGGGGATTGGGCATCTCCAACGGGATGATCAGAGACGCTTTCCCTGGACGATCAGGACCCCCGTGCGTGCAGGGAATTCGTTGTTGCTATCCGTGTCCCCCTCACGACCGCAGGTGTGGCTGCGTCAGACCGCTTTGACGCTGAAGCGCGCCGCCGTGCTCAGAAGGCTTGGCCAAGACACCACCAGAGTGAGGGCCCAGCCAGACGAGCCGGGATGATCAGAGACGCTTTCCCTGGACGATCAGGGCCCCCGTGCGTGCAGGGAATTCGTTGTTGCTATCCGTGTCCCCCTCACGACCGCAGGTGTGGCTGCGTCAGACCGCTTTGACGCTGAAGCGCGCCGCCGTGCTCAGAAGGCTGGGCCAAGACACCACCAGAGTGAGGGCCCAGCCAGACGAGCATATTGAGGAGACCCGATTGGCCGAGAGTGCTCTCGTGACTGCTGCTTGATATTCTCATCACCTTTGCGGCGCAACGTGCACAATGTATGCAAAAACACTGCATCCCGATGGATTGGCCCACATGACATACATTGATAACAGGCTCACGTAACAGACGCAGGAAACGGTCGCACATGACATATGTATATGGTAGGCATAAGTGGCGGATCCAGAGAACACGCAGTATTCAAATGCCGTGCACATCACATGCATACATTGCGCATGCGAGGAGCGTATCCAAAGCACAGTCAGCAGGCAGTGACAGAACACCCGCACATGGCCGACGCAATGAATAGACGGAAAGAACATCCACCACGACCGTTCTACGAATGACAGACACATGTCACATTTCAGAGTCCATAATCCATTGCAGAATTTACCGCCCTGAGCAATCCCAATAAGATATTGTTTCGAGCTTGCATGACTTGACCAAGTATGACTTCGCAGTTCGCTGCATTGCGTTGCGTCGTAATGCGTTCGTAGTGTTTTGTGTTAGTTTGCCCGGCGTTAGAAGGCAACGCGTTGCATTGCTCGACGTTGTGTTGTATTGCATTGCAGCGCATGCATCCTGCTTTGAATTTCATGGCTGTCATGGTGGCCCAGATTTGTTGGAAATGCACTGCGGTGCATTGATGTGCTTTGCATTGTGTAGCACTGCGTCGAACTGCTGTTCCGTGTGTTGTGCAGTGCGGAGCCTTTTGCATGGCTTTCCACACTGGGTGCTACCTGCCAAAGCGTCCCTCTTGAGACGCGAACCCCACTTGTGCCCACTCCAGGCTTATTTGACGCGATGGTCAAACTAATAAGTACGTTTCCTGAACTTGACTTCCGTGACTTGCTTGGCCTCGCCCCCGGAACCGTAGCGCGGTGGCCGTGCCCAGCTCTGCGTCGGCGTCGGTGCTCGGTGCCCGCCGCCGGTCCTCTCGTCTCCGCCGCGTCCTTAGCCGCGTCACAGTGCGTGCGTCGATCTCGGCGTGCGTCTTGGTCGTCGCGCGGATGGTTGGGTATCGTGCGTATTTTTGCACAGGCGCCTGCGTTTGTGGGCGCGCTCTGCTTTGCATGGCGCCCACTGCGCTGTATCATTCCTCCTCTGGCCTGTGGGGGCGCAGCGTCACAGCATCACAACATCACACATCGCCTATCGGAACCTATATCTAATTCGCTTTCGATGTAGCTGCTTTACAGCATGCGCATGTTTGGGTGGCAGCAATGACATCGCTCTGGGGCAAGCCGCAAATGTAGAGTCGAATCCTCTTCGATCCATGTCGTTTCCGGGTCGATCCCAGCCGTACGGCATAGTGCTTGCTGCTATGTTCGCCTTGTATGCTTCACATGCTAACGTTGTCGTTTGGTGGCGCTAGCACGCGTGCTTCCCAGCTGTTACATTGGGCTTTTGCATTTTAGGTGTTGTGTTTCGCAGGCCATCTTGCTCGCTCGCAGCGTATTTTGCTCAGAAGTTCTTGTTGGCACTCATTGCGTCATCGCTCGCTAGCGTGCCAGCTTCGGGCCGCTGGTGATGCCACAGCCAGGCCGCGGTGTTACTCTTCTCTTGATATTGCATGCGCGCTTGTCGAATAAATTGTTACTCGCTAGTTGCTGCTTCAATGTCTCCGCAGGGCTTCTATTTAGTCCTGTGACAGCTTAATGCAGCATGTTCTTGTCATCACGGATCCGATATTTGGATGTTGACCGACTTTGCAGCTCAGTAGCGCTGTCTCTAGCGTCAGTGTGCGAATGCCCAGCGAACATGACCAACATTGTAGTCACGAGGTGAAACATCAACACTGCAGTAAACGGTGCACATTGACGTTGCCATGTGAGTCTTTTCGGTTCAGCCGCGCACTAGTCACGCGCGCATTCCGAACACGTCTAGCAGCATTCGACCGAGTCGCGTGCAATAGTCATATCGCCACATTTTTGCGCCGCACAGGATTCAACAGCACAGTCTTGGCTCAAGCCGTCTCGGCTTGCAAGCGCGGGCCTCATATTGAGGGTAGCCGTCGGCGCCCCGCGGCCGGACCGCCGCGGTGCATGCTTCGCCTCTTGTCCTGTGGCATCGTCGCGCTTGGCGGTGTCGAATCGTCGGTTGGGGATGCGATCGGTTTCGACTTTCGGCATGTCGAGGCGCTGCTCGGGGACGCGATCGGGTTCGACGTCCAGTATTTCATGCCAGAGGAGTTCCTGCAGGACCTGCCTCTCCGCAACGAGAGTCTGCCGCAGGAGGTCATGAGCGAGTTCTCAAGCTACAGGTTCAAAGAATACCACGACGACGACATTGACGACGGAGGTTTCGGTCCCGTGTACAAGTACGGCGTGAAAGCCACGACGATTCTGAATTCCCCAGCATATCTGGCGCGGCGATCGATTTGCACTAAGGTCGTGTCACCAGACGGAGATCCTCGTGTCTGCAGCGAGCCTGGCGACTTTTCGCCCAGGGCCTTAATCGAGCATGCTCAAGCAGGTGAGGCTGGTCGCTTCAGGCTGCAGGCAGCGTTCTATTTCAGAGCATATGGATTCGTCGACGTTCATTCCAAAACTTGCTGCTGCTTTGGAATTGTTTGCTGGTCCGACACGATCTGCAACGACGAAATAAAGTTGGAAGGCGACTTGATCGTTGAAAGTATCGTCAGCGTCACCATTGATCAGTCTGGGGCTGCGAAGTTCACTCCCACCACCACCGTCACACTCGATAATTTCGATGTGTCGGGTTGTAGCGCGGACTGGTTCATGAGGCTGATCGGCGTCGATGGAAACCAGGAGATTCAAGAGAGAGCCCAAGCCAGCGTGCAGTCCTGGATCGACAGCAGCCTGCAGAGCGCGTTCCTGCCCCAGACCATCCCCCTCAGGCCGGACGCCGTCAACCTGACCTACCAGCTCCACTCGCCGCAGTTCGTGCCCTCGAACGCGACCTCCTCTTCCCGCGGCTACGTCATGGTACACGCCAGCTGCGCCGTGTCCGCCACGGCGCCCAACGGCACGACGCAGCGGTTCCCGGACCCCGGCCAGCCGTGGACGGGCGGCCACAATGCGCAGCCGCTGAACACGAGCTGGGCCCGCACGCGCGCGCTCCCGGCGGCGGGCGAGGCGGTGCTGCTCGGCGGGGTGCGGGCGGCACCGCAGCTGCTCACGATGGTCCTGCAGGGGCTGCACTACTCAGGGGCCCTCTCCCCCAAGAACGAGAGCGATGTCCGGGACGCGCACCTCTTCTTCGACATGGACATGGCCCAGCCGACCGCGTTCATCAAGGGCGGCCCGCGCCGGGGGTTCGAGATGCGCGAGCAGACGCTGCGGCTGCAGGTCGACTGCCTGGACAGGAAGTCCTCCAATTCGTCGAGGCGCTACCAGCTGCTGGACGCGAGGTTCGCCAACGTCACTCAGGAGCTGGCCGTCCACACGGTCGGACCGACCTCGGTGGACGACCAGACGGCCCTCGGATTGGTCGTGCAGATCTGGAACAGCTCGATGGGCGACGCCCACTTCGAGGGGATGAACTCCAGCGGGTTCATCGGGACGCAGAGCCAGCTGAAGGCGCTGTCGCTGGGCGCCCTGCGCAGGAGCTTGCCGGCGGTCAACAGGATGCTGCTGGACACGCCGATCAAGTTCTGCACGACCTGCGCGCTGGCGCCGCTCGTGCCGCACCCCTCCGTGGCCCCCGTGCCCTCGGAGGCCTCCGGCGGCCCCGGCTACCTGGAGGTCTCGTGGCACTGCGCCTGCAACGAGTACGGCTACTACCAGAAGTGCCAGGGGTTCCGGTGCCCGGAGGCCCTGCGGGAGGCCCCGCAGCTGCGGCCCCGGCCGCCTGCGGCCGCCGCGCCCGGGCCGCTGGCCGCCGCGGGCCGCCGCCTGCACGCCGCCGCGGCGGGCGCCGCCGCGCGGCTCGGCGCACTGGGCATCCGGCCGTGGGGCGGCGCCCCGCCCGCCGCCGGGCGCCCGCGGCGGGCCGCGGGCGGCAGCGGCGCGCCCGTGCTGCTCGGCGCCTTCCCGGGCGCGGCGTGCGGCTTCGGCCCGGGCGGCACCTTCAGGTTTGCGACCGCGAACTTGTCGCAGTGCACGGAGGCCGGAGGGCTCTCGGAGCTGGGGCCCGCTTACGTCCTTGACGGCGACGGCGAGGACTTCGCCCTGCACTCCGGCTGCGGCCTGCGGAACGGCTCCTGCGAGGGCTGTCGTGCCACGCTGAGCCTCCGGGCCCGAACGTGCACTCGCCTCGGGGGGGTGTCGATCTTCCTCGAGGTGCCCGACGGCAGCTCGACCTGCATTGGCGGATCGGAGGCATACCCGGACACGGGCGCGGTGCTCCTGGCCACGGACGGTGCACCCGGGTCCTCCCGGTCGCAGACCACGTTCGCCACGCGGCTCGGCAGCAGCTGCGCCCGGTGCGGCGCAGGTGGGAATCTCTCCTGCGCAGCACTCCCACGGCAGGGCGGCTTCAAGGCAGACCTCTTCTGCGAGAACTGCTCCCTCGAGACGTGCGCCATCCGAGGCCTCGTGGGAACGGACGCCGTGCCGGTGCCGAAGAACGATTCGTTGGGCAACTCGTCTGGGTTCTCGATGGTTCTCGTCACCACGCCCTCGCGGTACACGATCTTGAGAGCCTGCCCGTCGCCCAGCCGCAGGGCCGGGGACGGAGCCCTCCTCGCCTCGCTGCTCGGGGCAGTCCTGGTGTCCTCGCTGCTGGGTGCCGGCTGGGCTGCTGCCAGGCGCCGGCGCGGCGCGTGCGGCTCACCGCGCGCGCTGGCCCGCGGGTCGCTGGCCCGCGGGCAGCGCGCGCTCGGCACGGCGCGCGGCGTGCTCGCCTCCTGGCGCGCCTCCGCGGGGTCGGCCTGCACGGCCTGCCTCGGCAGGCTGCCGCGGGCGCACCTCCGCTGGCAGGGGGAGGCCGCCCACTTCCAGAGCGCCCTCCTCAGGCTCTGCGTGCAGGCGTGGCTGCTCGTTGCCTGCGGCGCCGTGTGGTTCTGGAAGAACCCCATGGTCGGCCTGCTGGCAAGCATGCGGGAGCAGCTCTCCGTGGAGGGCTTCGACATGACCGGGGCGGAGCACATCGTGGAGGTGTCCCGGTCCACGGGGCTCGCCATCTTCGTCGCTGTGGCCCTGCTGTCGAAGGTCCAGTTCGCCTGCGGCCTCGTAGGCCTGGAGCCGCGCCCGGGGCCAGGCGCGCCTGCAGTTCCCGCCAGGGCGGCGGGGCCGGGCAGGGCGTGGTGGCGCTGCTCGGCGGCCATGCTGTTCGAGGGCACGGCCGGCGTGGCGCTGCTGGCGCTGACCTTCTGGCAGCGGGACTTCGTCCAGGCGTACGAGTCCGCCAAGGGGCAGGGGGGCGAGATGGGGTTCCTGTCGGGGGGCGTCGCCGCGACGGCATCCGTCGAGTTCAGTATTCGCCTGCTGCTCACGTGGATCGCGCCCTTCCTGATGACCGTGCGCATCGTGCCCGCGGTGGCCACGACCACGGTAGCCCACCACCGCGCGAGCGCCGGCGCCCAGGTGGGGCCCGTCTTGCCCTACCTGCTGGGCCTGCTGCTGACCCACGAGACCATCGCCGTGGTCCTCGCCATGACGTACTTCCACTCGGGCTACATATCCACCGTCCTTTTCGAGATCGTACTGGGCGGGACGGTCCTGAACGTGTGTTCGTTCCTGATCTGCTCAGACAGCCTGCCGGGCCACGCGGGGGCGGCCTCCGCCCTGTGCGCCATCATCGGCGCCTACCAGTCGGTGCTGGTCGCCTACCTGGGGTACACGATCGGGAACGGCTGGCTCGCGCCCTTCCTGGCCGTCTCCTCCGCGGTCGCGGCCTACTCGCCCTGGGCGGCCGTCACCACCGCCGTCCAGGAAGTGTCGCTGTCGCTCCCCGGGGTTGACTGCCCGCCGCGCCCGGCCGTCCAGGCGGCCGCCCCCGACGCCGCGGAGGCGGCGCCTGCCCCGGGCGGGCTGCCAGAGCCGCTGCTGAGTTTCGGCACAGACGGCCGCCCCGTCGCCGTCGCGGCGGCCGACCCGCAGGAGGCCTGCCCCGCCGCCGCGGCGACGGCCGCCGTGGCCGCCGCGACACTCCCCGCCGGCGGCGGCTCTGCTGGCGGCCGCTGCGCCCTGGAGGTCTACGAGTGGCTGCTCGAGAAGCAGGAGGCGCAGGATGCGGCCGCGTACGGCTCCAGGATCAAGTGGAGGAGGCTGTGCCTGCTCTTAGGCACCACCGGGCTGGTGGTAAGTACGCTGCGGGACTGGGGACATTGCCAAAGGGTCAGCCCTTGGGACGACGTGAACGCCATGATCTCCAGCATGGTCGGGGACGGTGCCGAGGTCAGCCGCAGCAGCGACTCCTTCCTGGCCCCCCTGGTCGACCAGTACGGCAGCGCCCGCGGCCTCAGGCTGGCCCTGAACTGCTGCGGCGCGGTGGCGTTCGGGGCGGGCGCGGTCCTGGACCTGGTGGGCTCCCAGGGCTGGGCGCCGGCGCGGAAGATGCTGGACGGCTCCCGCACCTGCGGCATCGTGGGCACGCTCCTGTGCGCGGCCGCCTTGCTCGCCTTCAACCTGCCCGACTACGTCGGCCTGCTGGACTTCGGCCCCACGCTCGGGCACTGCGGGAGCGGGTTCTGCCAGGGCGTCTCGGACTCCATGCGGGCCGCCCTGGGCTCGGGGCTCCTCGCCCAGGCGGGCGTGGACTTCGTGCCCATGCTCGTCGCGCTCCCGTGGACGCTGTTTCGCATCGGCTTCTTCCTCTCCGAGGACAAGCAGAACAGCAAGGCCGTGGGCGCGCTCATGTGGGCCACCATCATGTGCATGTTCCGGTTATCTTTGCTGCCAGCAACAATTGCGTACATCGCAACCGCGGACAGCCAGATCGTCCTCTGGTACGCCGCGTTCCTGGTCCTCCCGCTGTGCCTGCTGTCCTTCATCGCGGCGACTGGCAGGCACCGCCTGGGCTGGTACTTCCTCTGGGGCTGGGGCTTCTTCGCGGTGCCCCTCTTCGGCATGACAGCGGTGGCGCTGCAGGAAGACTGGTGGACGCTCATGCAGAGGGCCTGGCAGAGCTTTCAGGCGTCCTGGCCAAGCTTCCTGGCGGAGTTCACCCTCTCCGACGTGGTCATATCGGACGTGTTCTTTCTGCTCATCTACGGGCGGACGCGCGGCGGAGCAGCCGCTTGAGGGGTCCGCGGCCCTGGGTCGGAGCTCTGGCGCGAACGTCCCCGCGTTCTCGCGCGCACGTTTTTTGTTTGTTTCCATTTGCTGCTTCACCATTCGCATAGGCTGGGCAGGTGTTCCCCAGCGTGAGGCGTTTTCTTCCAGTCAGTAGTCTACACTGAGAATCGTGGCGGCAGCAGGCTTCTAACAAGGCATGCTTGTGCCCACCCAGAATATTCGAGCCTCCAGGGTCGAACTTGTGCCGGGCAAGCTGCAAGATGCGCAGTGCACATCGCAAAGGCCGCGCCGTCCCCCCCCAAAAAAAGAAAAAGGATTCAACAGCACAGTTTGTGTTGATCGCATTCAGCAGTGTTCGACGTGGCACTCGAGATAGGGGGGCGCACACGGTGCCGCACGAGTACTCTCTGCACCTGTTCGTGCGCATACAGTACGAAGGTGCAATGGTAGCTTGCGCATGAGCACCAGGGCTGGCAAAAACACGCATCAGCATTTGCCTTTTAAACCAGCTGGTGTTCCTTTGCTCCGGGCTTGGTTGCCATCGCCATTGAATGTATGCTCACTCGCTGAAAATAGACTTTCCCGTGCCCATGTACAAGTCACCACAGCACTACGAGTACCGCCTGTGCGCAACAAGAGTCTGCCATTTTGCCCACAGATCTGTATGCTGCCGTGCTGTTTCTTACTTTCTTTTGAGTGGCGATGGGTGGCGCAAAATCAGCTGGTGTCGCAGTCCAGTCTGGCTCGAGACGCGGTTGGGTGCTGCCTCGTTCGTTCGGTCCAGTTCTGGCGTAGCCCGGGTGCATTTTCTGCGGTGCGTTGGCTTGGGATCGCTGCATGCGTCGCACGTGGTAAAGTTCGGCCGATGAGGGTGCAACCTGTGGCGCAACCAACATTTTGTCATGCCAAGGTTTGAAAGCCGAGAGCGCCGACTTGTAGCGCCCGCAAGTGCAGTTTGGTTTTCGGTTCCCGGCGGCCGAGGGCGCAACCAATCGCGCAAGCAGCAGCAGCACGTCCTGAGTTTCGGCGGCTGGCCGATGGTCACCACCCACCAGACCACCCCAACCCAACCCGAAGGCCCAAATTTATCCTCGATTTCCAGTGGGGGGGGGGTCGGGGAACATTGAAGAAACACATGGAACCCGTACCCCCCCAACCCGAAATTCAGGTCGAATTCGGGTCTTCGGGTTGGGTTGGGGTGGTCTGGTAGGTAGTCAGATGGCACAGCCCGTGGCGCAATCTGTAGCCGCGCGTCTCGAGTCTCGGAGGCCGACGGCTCAGCCTGTGCCACGGCCAATCGTAGGAGGGCTGTACGTTTCGGTGGGCGAGGGCGCAGTCCATGGGGCAACCGGGGGTGCAACATCTGCCGCAAACAGCTCCGGCTGTTGAGGGTGCACCCCAGGGCGCATCATTTCTCCAGGGTGTAGCCCAGAGTGCAACCCAGGGCGCATCATGACCTGTGTCTAGGGGTAGGTACTTTCCTTCGCTCGGCCCTGTCCCCGGCTGTCCCGGGTCCTGGCGTGTGCCCCCCCTCTTCGCCAAGACGCATATCCTGTCTCGCTGTTTTGGGTCCTCGCGCAGGTCTCATCCGTGATGAGACCAGAGGAAGTGAAGGGGCCGGGGGATCTCTTCCTCCCATCCGTTACGGAACAAATCCTTGGAGGTCAATATCAGCATCGGCGCTGGTATAACCGTGGCTGAAAACCAGCCCAGTCCAGCTTGGTCCGGCTCGATCCGGCTTCATCCTAGGCTTGATCTAGTCTGGGCTACTCCAGCTCGCTGACCCCTTAATCGGGCTTAATGAAGTGGAGACCCATGCCAAGAAACACCCTGCTTGCCTCCAGGGTGCCCTTGATTTCTTGGGTTTCGATGGTTTTGCAATGGAAAGCGTGACGTTCCCACACCAAAAATGAAAGGACGTCCTGGGGTCTCAGGGTTGGGTTTCTTGCGGAAGGTTTCTTACGAAGACCTTCCGGAAATTGCCTCCTAACATCCGTTCAGTGCCATTTTCGTCCCTCAGTTCGAGGCTTTCGGCGCCACCCCCTGCGCGCTCCGCGCGCCATGGAGGGGGGCCCAGAGCCGATCACAGCTGCGCGGACCTTGGAAAGCTTACGTTTGTGCCGTGCTTCCTTTTTCGCTTTCTCGTCCCTCATTCACGGCCGCGTCCTCCCTAGATGCGACTGCTGGCTCCGATGTCGTCCCCCATCCGACTCTGGCACCCATCCATCAGACTTCTGCTCCCGCCACTCGGAATGAATGTCGCCAGCTTCGCGGCATGACGCTCTCTGGGCCCTGGCCCGCCCACGCTGCCTTCGTAGGGCCTGTCCGTCGGACCGACGGTACGCGCTCGCTCGCTCCCTCACTCGCGGCCTCTCCCTGCGAACTATTCATCGGACTTAACTTCAATATTATTTGATGGGGCTCAATGCTCCCAGAAGTTGCTTTGTAACATCCTTGCGCCCCGACCGTCCCATCTCCACGGGGGCAGTGGCACTGGGAACCCGTCCGGGAAACACGGCCGTCGGGAATCAGAGGCCCAGCCAACTTCTGCCGACGTCGCCATCCCGCCGAGCAGGCCCCCGGCGCGCACGCGCGCGCAGCCGATTGCCTCGTGACATCTGTTCGGGTCTCACCGTCGCCCTCGTGGGCGGAAGCGCACCTCCGTATCCGCGGCCTCGCGGGCCCGGGCCCCTTGGGCAGCGACCCCGCGGACACGGGGCGTTTCCTCACGGCTGCCCCGCGCGGAGCGTGTCCGCGCGATCTCGCACATCCGTGGGAGCGCGCCCTGGAGTCCAGACCGCGAGGGCGCGGATACGGAGCGTGTTCGCCCCTCGTGACGCCCCGCGCTCGCGGAGTCTCCCTGCCTCCCCTGCAGGCGGCGGCGGCGCGGTCGCCGCCGGGGGGCCGAAGTCGGCGCCGCCCGACGCCGGCGCCGTGCCCGAGGCGGTCGGCCTCTGGGACCGCAGCCGGGGCGCACGGGCGGGGCTCCGGGGGCCCTGCGGGTGTTGCCAGGCGTGTCCCCAAGACGTGGCCGCGCCGTGCGGAGCACTCGCGACGGAAGGCATCTGTGGCGGCTTTCGGCCTCTCTGGGGGCCCTCGCCGGGCCCCGGGACCGTCAGGAGACGACCTGGGATGAGCTGCCGGCCCCGTGGAGAGGGTCGGGACCGCGGGGGGGCCCGTGATCGCATGCCCGGGTCCCTGGCCCGGCTGTGGCGCATGGGCGGGACTGCGCCGATGGAGCCTGCAGGTGTTGCCCGACGGGGCGCCCCAGGGAGGTGCGCTGACATCTCTTCTTCGGCGGAAGGCGGCGGAAGCTGCCGGAGGTCAAGCAGCGGCGGGTCCGCCAGCGGAAGCCGGCGGAAGGACAAGCTGCGCCTCCCCAAAGGGTTGGCAGCATTTTCGGTTCAGGGTTTCCAGGATCGGCCAGATGTATCGCTGGCTCAGAGTGTCCCCAGGGTTTCCAGGGAGGCCCGCACGGCCTCTAGAGCCACCCATCACGCGGCCAAGGGGGCCCTCAGGGTCCTGGAGTGGTGCGAGAAGGTGGGGGGCACCTTTAGCCAGGGACTCTTTTGGCAACTCCCGAGCTCTGGGGTGCTCGTCTTCGCGAATGCCCCTGTGGCCGCCAGGGGCGCCTCTCATTCCCGTTCCCTCTGCCCTTCCCCTTCCCGTTCCCCTTCTCTTTTTCCCCTGTCCTCTTTCCCTTCTTCCTCCTCCCCCTCTCCTTTCCCTCCCCTCCCCTTCCTCTCCCCGTCCCTCTTTCACTTCATGCTCCTCTTCCTCTGGCACGGTCGTCGCCCAGCCTGGCCGGACCGCGCGGCACCCCCCCTGGCTGCGCCGAAGGCGCTCCCGCCGCCGTTTCTGCGGCACCTCCACACACCGCTGCTCCTATGGTTGCTCCTGCAGCCGCCCCACGGCATCTTTCTGCGGGGAGGCCTCAGGGGTGTCCAAGAGGGGGATCATTTGAGCGGGGGCCATGGCATCTCCCCGGGAGGAGGCGAATGATGAGGAAGGAGGAGGAGGAGGACGGAATGAGGAAGAGGAGGAGGAGAAGGAGGAGGAAGAGGAGGAGGAGGAGGAGGACCAGTGTAAACCCAAGAGTCATCAACGATGCTGGAATAAACCTTCCCTGCAAGCTCTCTCTTTTCATAGGCCCCTACAACTGTTCATTTCTATTGGGGGAACTGCCTCGTAGGAAGACAACCGTGTGAAGACCCTGAAGCATGCCAAAACATTGTTCACGGGATTCCGACGCCACGGATCAACCTGGCCGTTGCGTCTGACGATCCTGAGTCGTGCCAAAACGCCATTCCTGGGACTCAACATTGCGAATCAAGGTAACTGTTGCAACCGCATGATCTTGAATCCCTCCGACACACAGTTCCTTGTACGTTGGTCATGGGCATCCGTGAATCTCTTGCAACTTGAAACAACGAATGTGCGCGGCTTTAAGGCGAGAGCCACATAAAAATCGGGTGACCCAATCCTTGAAGCTCTTGCAACTGTTTAAAGCGAATGCGCGCGGCGCCAAGGCGAGAACCACATGTTGAAAACGGGTCGCCCTCAATCCGTGCAGCTATTGCAATTTGAAAGAACGAATTGTGCGCTGCGCTAAGGCGAGAGCCACATTTTGAAAACGAGTCGCCCTCACTCCGTGAAACGCCTTGGCAATTTCTAAAGACGAATGTGCGCGGCGCCAAGGCGAGAACCACATTTTGAAAACGGGCCGCCCTCAATCCGTGCAACCCTTGCAAATTGAAAGAACGAAGTGAGCGCTGCGCTAAGGCGAGAGCCACATTTTGAATGCGGGTCGCCCTCAATCTGTGACACGCCTCTGCAATTTCTGAAGACGAATGTGCGCGGCGCTACGGCGAGAGCCACATTTTGAAAGCGGGCCGCCCTCACTCCGTGAAACTCTTGCCAATATTAAAAACGAATGTACGCGGCGCTAAAGCGAGAGCCACATTTTGAGAACGTCCCGCCCTGCATTTGTGAAACTGTTGCCACTTTTAATATTTCAGAGCCATGGATGGTGAGGAAGTCTCAGACGAAACATCCAGCCCGTCCTAACACTTGGCCTCGGGGTGCGACAGGGAGAATCTATACGTAAGGAAAAGGAATGGAGGATGAGGAGGAGGACGATGAGGACGAGGACGAGGAGGACAAGGAGGACAAAGAGGACGAGGAGGACGAGCAGGAGCAGGAGCAGGAGCAGGAGTAGGAGCAGGAGCAGGAGCAGGAGCAGCAGGAGGAGGAGAAGGCGGAGGAGGAGGAGGAGGAGGATGAGGATGAGGATGAGGATGAGGATGAGGATGAGGAAG